AAAACTCTGGTGCGGCCGCACTTGGAGTATTGCGTACAGTTCTGGTCACCGCATTATAGGAAGGATGTGGAAGCATTGGAAAAGGTGCAGAGGAGATTTACCAGGATGTTGCCTGGTATGGAGGGAAGGTCTTATGAGGAAAGGCTGAGGGTCTTGAGGCTGTTTTCGTTAGAGAGAAGAAGGTTAAGAGGTGACTTGATAGAGACATACAAAATGATCAGAGGATTAGATAGGGTGGACAGTGGGAGCCTTTTTCCTCGAATGTTGATGGCTAGCACGAGGGGACATAGCTTTAAATTGAGGGGTGATAGATATAGGACAGATGTCAGAGGTAGGTTCTTTACTCAGAGAGTGGTAAGGGTGTGGAATGCCCTGCCTGCAAAAATAGTAGACTCGCCCACTTTAAGGGCATTTAAATGGTCATTGGATAAACATATGGATGATAATGGAATAGTTTAGGTTAGATGGGCTTCAGATTGGTTTCACAAGTCGGCGCAACATCGAGGGCTGAAGGGCCTGTACTGCACTGTTATGTTCTATGTTCTATACTTCAAATGTGGCCTATCTACAGCTTTATAAAACTGCCATGTGACTTGCCAACTCTTATACTTAATGCCCCAAACGATGAAGGCAAACATGCCGTACGCTGCCTTTATCATCTTATTCACTTATCTTGCCACTGTCAAGGAACTGTGGACTTATACCCCAAGATCCCTCTGTATATCAATGCTTCTAAGGGTCTTGTCATTTACTGGACACTTTCCTCTTGCATTTGACTTCCCAAAATACATCACTTCAGGTGAACAGGTAGTGAACTTAAAAGCTTAAGCGTGCTTCTATCAAGATGCTGGTAATAGTCGGTCAATATGAAGCATGCTAATGGCAGCATAAAGTTCACGCGACTCCACCCCCGGAATGTGCCATAACCTCAGCCTCAGAGAAGCACTCATTGCTTTCTTTTTTGCATGAAATTGCCAATAGGTGACAAATTTCAGGACAGTTTTGAGTTGTTGCCCTTTCTTCCCATCATCCAAAATGGTGCATTTATCTACTGATTACATGGAAAATTTGAAATGAGTGGCACAAGAATCAAAATAGTTTTGTTTTAACTTTCTGGGAAGGAATGTTAATTGTGTAGCCACTGCACATTTATAGTGTGTCACTGTTCCTGTTCAATTTTTTTTAATTAAGTATGTACATTTGTTTAAGAGGAGATGGTGTTAGCATAAAAAACTGTGTCTCTGGATTAGGAGTCCAATGATTCAGGATGATCAGGTTCAATTTAGATTCAAGTCACACAATGGCAGACAGTGAAATTTGAATTCAATTGCATCTGAAATTAAGCACTAGTCTCATGGAAGCCACAGAACCATTGGCAGTTGTCATTTGAAAAACAACAATCTGGTTTGACAATGTCCTTTAGGGAAGGAAATCACCTGTCCTTACTTGCTCTGGCCTGCATGAGGCTCCATGTGGTTGACTCTTAACTGCCCTTTGAAATGGCCCAGCATGCCACTCAGGTCAGGGGCAATTAGTGGTGAGCATCAAAAGTGACACCCCATGCAAGAATGTTTTTTTTAATGTTGCTAAGTAATATGCAATCTAGTGAAGTATTGTTCTGTTCTAAAATTGAGAGATCATTAGACGTTAAAATTTATCTAGTAGCTGAAATATACTAATAAAATCTTCGGTTCAGTCGCTGGGGTTCAGTGATGGGAAGTGGATTGGCTGCGCAGCTTTTCAGTATTTTTATATGGCACATTGCTGTTGACCATCTCTGGAATACCTCTAAAACCTATTCTTTGGTTTAGATGGTTGATAAAACAGAGAAATATATTTTCCTTCATTCTGTAAATATTTAAACTTAATTATGTGTTTTACAATTCAAAGTGCTACAATCAGAAGCATATGCAAGCAAAACCTAGAGGAGACTTGACTTTCCATTGAGTGGTTTGCTATGATTGTACCTGACTTGTACAATGGCAGAAATAATAAAAATAAAGAAAATGCCATGATTCGTTTTTGACAGACAATTTTTGAGGTGGGGATTTTTCAAACACTGATTTCCGCCAGGATAATTTTCTTTTTAACATTTTGATGCAGATAAGGGAATATCTAGTGAGTTTGGATCAGAAGAATCTGACTATACTGGAGAAAATTCAGAGTTCCTTGTTCATGCTCTCACTGGATGATGCCAGTCCCCCTGCATCACCTGAAGATTATTCTCAAGTGAGTAGATGAATTATCTTTGGATGTGATGCTTATATGGAGCTTCCAAATGAAAACAGACTGAATTATTTGAGATCTGTGCATGTAAACTATACAGAAATAGAAAATCTAAGACTCTTGTGGTCATCCATGACTTCATCGTTCTTCATCTCTGTAATCTCCAGCCCCACTACCCTCCAAAATATGTGCTCGCTTCTAATTCTGATCTCTTGTATCCATGATTTTAATTGCTGCCTCATCAGTGACCATGCCTTCAGCAGCCTGAGCTCTAAGTTCCAGAATTCCTACTTTAAATTTGGCCATCTCTCTACCTCATCTTTTTCCTTAAAGGTGCTCCTTAAGAAAAATCTTTTTGACCTCGCTTCACATTCGTTGTCCTAATAGCTCCCTAGGTGACACAACACCCTATCTTGTTTTATAATGCTCCTGCTTTTGTTGCCTTAGATTGCTTGCCATTTCCCTGTGAATTCAGTGTGCCCCTAAAACTTCTATTGAAAATGAGTAGCTTTACATCAACTTAGCATGTGTGATATTTGGATATATTGTGTATGCATGAAGAAGCAGTCCAAATTGCACTTTGTTTCCTGCTTTCAGATATGTTTATCAGCACTAACTGGAAATCCAACTGTACGATGGGGTGACAAGTCGTACAATTGCCTCAGTTTCTCCAATGGAACTTTTGGTTCAAACTGTGATGTAAGTGAATCAATCAAAGAAAATCACGCACTTAAATAGCATCTTACACAGGAATTGTTGCATAGAAAGCTGTCTTAAACAACACCTTAAAATGATTCAGAGATAGTAGGAACTACCGATTCTGGAGAATCTGAGATAACAAGGTGTAGAGCTGGATGAACACAGCAGGCCAAGCAGCATCAGAGGAGCAGGAAAGCCGATGTTTCGGGTCAGAAGGATCCAGACCCGAAACGTCAGCTTTCCTACTCCTCTGCTGCTGCTTGGTCTGCTGTGTTCATACAGCTCTACACCTTGTTACCTTAAAATGATTAACTAGTTGATTTTGTGTTTATTGAGGGAGGAATGGTCACCAGAACAATTAGAAAAATTCTTTGATCTACTTCAATGGAGTTTATCAGGCTCACATTAAAGACAATTAAAGCTTGGTTTATTTAGCATTACAGCTGAAAGATGACACTTCTGATTTTTATCATTTTCATACTTAAAAAGGTAATTGACCATTATCATAGAGTCATACATCCCAGCAACTGGCCTTTTGGTCCACCATGTATATGCCGACCAACAAACACCAAGTTACCCTAATCCCATTTGCCTGCACTTGATCCATAGCCCCCTATGCCCTAACACTTTAAGTGCTTTTCCAGATGCTTCTTAAATGTTTCAAGAGTACCTGCCTCCCACACCATCGCGGACAGCACGTTCCACATTTCTACCAAACTCTGGGTGAGAAAAGTTTTTCTTGGATCTCCTGTAAATCACTTACTCTTCGCCTTAAACTTATGCCCTTTGGTTTTAGACATGTCTTCAGTGGGGAAAAGATTCTCACAATCTACCCTATCTATGCCTGTCATAGTTTTTTTATACCTCAATCAGATCCCCCTCGGCCTCCTCTGCTGCAGATTAAACAAACCCAACCTATTCAGATTGTCCTTGTAACTGAGACTTTTCATCCCAGCGAGCATCCTAGTGAATCTCCTGTGTACCTCTTCCTTTGCAAACATGTTCTTCTGATAGTGTAGTGACCAGAACGCTACACAGTGTTTCATCTATATCCTGACCGACGTTTTATCAAGTTGTAATAAGACTTCCTTGTTCCTGTATTCTATGCCCCGCCAAATGATGGCAAGCATCCTGCATGCCCCCTTCACCATCCTGTCTACCCATACTGACACATTCAGGGATCTATAGACTTGTACACCAAGGTCCCTTTGTCCCTCTGTGCTCCCTAGGAACCTACAATTCATTGTGTATAGCCTTCCCTTATTAGACATTCCAAAATGCTTCACCTCCCACTTATCAGGATTAAAACTCCATCTGCTATTGCTCTGCACAGTCTCTCAGCTGATCAACATCAGATTTAAGCCTGAGATCATTCCCCTCCATTATCAACAACACCACCAATTTCCATGTCGTCTGCATACTTACTAATTATATCTCTTACTTCACATCAAAGTCATTGTTGTATGTAACAAACGCCAGTCCCTATGGTACACCGCAGGTCACAAGTTTCCATCGGACAGACAATCTTCCACCATCATCCTTTGCCTTTTATTTGCAAGCCAATTTTGGATTGAGTGAAAACATTTCTTAAAAAAAAATTTAAAAGTTGGTGCAATGATAGATAAGTATTACAGTAAAAATATTACATCAGACAGTTCAATGAATGCAATTGTGAATTAATCATCATTGGAATATAATGCCCAAGCAAGGAGGTATGAAACATGAGATCCATTAATTTATGGATTATGCTGCTCATTGATAGTCAAGTTACCATTTCCTCCAAAACTTAACAAGAAAGTATTCTATGGTTTTCTCCACCTTCCATTTTGTGCAGTCTTAAATATGTTACCTTTTAGAATGTTTCTATTTTTAATAAGACATTGTTTGCCTTCCATAAACAGTCGTCTTGAACAATGATTAATTAAGTTATTGTCATGTATAGAAAGAGCAAAGGTTCTAATAGTGACTCTAGGAATTCTACAGTAAACCTTCTCATAGTCCAAAAAGCAACCATTAACTTCTACTATATTTCCTGATGCTCAAATTATTTTGTATCCATGTTGCTATTGTCCCTTCTGTTCCATGAGCTACAACTTTGTTTGCAAGTCTGTTGTGCGCCACTTTGCTGAATGCCTTTTGGGCATCTAATGGTAACAGCATCACCCTTACCAACCCTCTTGGTTACCTTATTAAAAACTCAAGCAAGTTGGTTACACACGATTTGCCATTAAGAGTGAATCTAGCATGGATTTGCTAATTAACCTACATATGTCCCAGTGACTATTAATTTGCTTTCAAGTCATTGTTTCTGGAACCTTCCTAACCACTGAGGTTAAAACTGATTGACCTGCAATTGTGAGGCTTATTTTTACATTTTTTTTGAACAAGAGCGTAACATTCATAAATCTCCAGTCCTTTGCTACCACCAAATGTAAGGAGGCTTAAAAAATTGTGGCCAATGCGTCTGCAATTTCTTCTCTGTCTTCCCTCAATGTCCTCAGATGAATTCGATTCGGCACTGGTGTCTTATCAGCTGCTAAGTATGGGCAGCCTATCCAAGACCTCCTGCTTATCAATACTTGAATTACCATCTCTTTCATAATAGACTGCACAGCATCTTCCCTAGAAAAGACAAATACAAAATATTAACTGAATACCTCAGCCGTGCCCCCTGTTTTTATGCATAAATTTTTTTTGGTCCTAATTAGACCCAATCTTCCTCTAACTGTTCTCTTATGATTTCTATGCCTATTGAAGTCTTCGTTTTTCTTTGTTGTCAGCAGCCAATCCTTTCTCTCATTCTCTGTTTCTCTTACTACTACTTTTAATTCCTCCCAGAGCCTCCTTTATTCAGTCTGATTTTTGGTTGTCTTACCCATTTGACACTTACAATAAACTAATATTTCCTTATTGTCCTTTTAAGAAGCTCTGAATACGTTTGCCCCCATTTCCACTTTGGAATATATCTTGACCGTGCCTAAATTATCTCTTCTTTAAAGACAACAATTATCATTTTGCCCACCAATCTTTGATTCCAGTGTATATAACTATGTGAGCGTACAGCTTAAGAACAGATTTGGGCCATTTGGTCATTCAAACCTCCTCCACCATTCAGTAAGATCATGGATAATCTGTTTGTGTTCCACATTCCCCATTCGTATCTACCTCTGATAACGTTTGATTCCTCTGCCTAACCAGGATCGGTATCTATTACTGCCTTAAAAGTATTCAATGATTCCACCTCCACCTTCTGAGACAGAATTCCAAAGTTAACCAATCCTCTGGAAGAAGAAGAAAAGTGCTCCTGATCTCTGTCCTGAATGGGTGACCTCTTATTTTTGCAAGTGTCCCCTAGTTCTGGACTGACCCACAAGAGTAAACATTCTTTCCATGTCCTCCTTGTCAAGACCATTCGGGATCTTGTAAACATCAGTCAGATCACCCATCGCTGTTCTGAACTCCAGTGAAAACAAGCCCAACCTGTCAAATCTCTTTCTTAATAAGATGACCTGCACAACCCAAGCATCAACCTAGTAAGCATTTCCTGAAATGCTTCCAGCACATTTACATTCTTCCTTAAATAAGGAGACCAAAACTGTACACTGTGTATTTAAAATGTGATCTCACCAGTGCCCTGCATAACTGAAGCGTAACATTCTTTCTTTTATGTTCAATTCCTCTTGTGATAAAAGCTCACATCCCACTAGCCTTTGTGATTGTGCTGTATGTGCATACTAATCTTCAGTGATTCACATGCTACAACAGCTAGCTCTTTCTGCACCTTGGAATTCTGCAGTCGTTCTTCATTTAAGTAATACTCTGCTTTTTATGCTTCTCACCAAAGTGAAATAACTTCACATTTTTTCACATTCAACTCCATCTCCCAGATTTTCTCACATGATTAACCTATCCATATCGATATGCACCCTTGTTTGGTCATCTTTATAGTACCTGTCTTGGGCTGTATCTTTGGATTGCCAAGTCACTCTTTATTTACCTGTGCACAGTACACCTATTTACCCTATCCATGCGCCTCATGATTATATAAACCTCCATAAGGTCACCCCTCAGCCTCTGACGTTTCAGAGAAAATAGCCCCAGTCTATTCAGCCTTTCCCTGTAGCTCAAACCCTCCAACCCTGGCAACATCCTTGTAAATCTTCTCTGAATAAAAACCGAAAGAACTGTGGATGCTGTAAATCAGGAACAAAAACAAATTTGCTGGAAAAGCTCAGCAGGTCTGGCAGTATCTGTGAAGGAAAAAAACAGTTAACGTTTCAGGTCCAGTGACCCTTCCTCAGAACTCAGAAATCTTTTCTGAACCTTTTCAAGTTTCACAACATCCTTCCTGTAGCAAGGAGACCAGAATTGCACACAGTATTCAAGTAGTGGCCAGACTGATGTCTTGTACAGCCGCAACATGACCTCCCAAGTCCTCTACTCAATGCACTGACCAAGAAAGGCAAGTGTACCAAATGTCGTCTTCACTATCCTATCTACCTGTGACTCCACTTTCAAGGACCTATGAACCTGCAGTCCAAGGTCTCTTTTTGTTCAGCAACACTCCCCAGGACCTTACCATTAAGTGTATAAGTCCTGCCCTGATTTGCTTTTCCAAAATACAGCACCTCACATTTATCTAAATTAAACTTCATCTGCCAATCCTTGGCCCATTGGCCCATCTGATCAAGATCCCATTTACTCTGAGGTAACCTTCTTCGCTGTCCACTACACCTCCAATTCTGGTATCATCTGCAAACTTACCTCCGTGTTCACATCCAAATCATTTATATAAATGACAAAAAGCAGTGGACCCAGCACCGATCCTTGTGGCATACCTTTGGTCACAGGCCTCCGGTCTGAAAAGCAATCTTCCACCACCACCCTCTGTCTCCTACCTTCGAGCCAGTTCCTCTATTCCGTGTGATCTAGCCTTGCTAACTAGTTTACCATGAGGAACCTTGTCAAACGCCATTCTGAAGTCCATAAAGATCAAGTCCACAGCTCTGCCCTCATCAATTCTCTTTGTTACTTCAAAAAACTCAATTAAGCTCATGAGACACAATTTCCTACGCACAAAGCCATGTTGACTATCCCTAATCAGTCCTTGCCTTTCCACATGCATGTAAATTCTTGTTCCTCAGGATTCCCTCCAACAACTTGCCCACCACTGATGACAGGTTCATTTTTTAAAAAAATTGTAACAATATCAATTTCTGATTTACCTGCTTTTTTTATTCAGCAAAAATGGAAGTCGAACATGGATGCTGAAACATTTATAGAAAAAAAAACTCCCTCACTGCCTTTATTGAATCTCTTACTCAGTACACTTTACTGATTGCACTAAGTCTAATTTAAAACATTTCTTTCCTGATGCACCAAATTCCTACTTTAAACCAAATTTCTGCATATACTTATTTGGGTGAAATCTCCCTCACACTGGCTGGTTTTGTTGCTCAGCTGGTAATTCAGAGGTTAGGACTATGATCTGGAAACAGGAACTCCAATTCCAGATGGCAGCTGGAATTGGTAACAACCATTAAACTTCCAGATTTTTGTAAAAGCCAATTGTTAGAATGTAGATTTTATTTATCACACCAGCACTATAATTCATGCTCAACAATGCTCAATTGTCTGGTAGGAACAGCATCTTTTTGGCTGTTTGAATGAAACACCCAGTTCCTCTAGCTGTTCATAAAAGGCAGAGTACACTCAATTAGCTTGCAAAGTATCCGTTAGATGTAATTCTGCAATTGGGCAGCACATGCTGAGCAATCCCAAATCTGCCATCAAAAGGACTGTGTTAAAGCCTGCACCTCTCTTGAATTACCCAAAAAGCCTATAGTTCCCTATTACTTTCTCCACGGCTATGCCTTAACCAGTCTGGTTTGCCGTGCCAACCAGACGGCACCATTTACCCCTGTGGCACACATTGTTATGATTGTTTGAAAGTTGGCATTCTTCTGATGTTAACAAGGTAAGAAAATTCAGCAGCGTGCCTTTCTTTCCAGCAGTGTTTAAAACAAAAACACTTTAGTGACGGCATGTAACCTAAAAAGTTGGTTTAAACTGGATTACGCGGTTCTGTTTTGTCACAGCATTCTCCTTATGATGCCATGGTAATGGTTTCCATGTGCTATTACATCGATCAGACTATCAAGTCAGTGGAAGGCAAATGGAAGGTATGTGAAGAAAACAATGAGTGTCTTTCATCAATAGAAAACTACTACAGATGCTCGAAATTTGAAATAAAACCTAAAAATGCTGGAGTTATTCAGCGGGATAAGCCACAATTGTGGAGAGAGAGACTGAAAACACAAAAAATGCTTGCGATCACAGTCAGTCAGGCAGCATCCATAGAGAGAAAGCAAGTTAACATTTTGAGTCTAGATGACTCTTCATCAGAGCTGACATGAGGTTTGGAGGGGACAGCAGTTATGCATTTGTGGGGAGGAGGTTGAATGAGTTGGGGGGTTGGACTGGTGGAGAAGGTGGGATGTTGATGGTTCAGATTAAGTGATTGGAATTTGAGAATTGCAGAACAATGGTATGTCTAACTGCCAGACTGGAAAGAACAGACAATCCCACTGGGGTGCCGGGAGGGGATAGAGGACATGGTGACAGAGAATGTAACAAGGTAAAAGAAAGGGAAGGAAGGGATTCACAATCTGGGTATTGTACTCAATATTAAGCCTAGAAGGTTGTAAAATGCCTAGTCTGAAGATGAGATGTTGATGTTCCAGTGAACTATCAATATTCTATCTGCCCAGCACTCCAACCACGCACCCCACCTCCTCCCACCCTCCCCCCAAAAAAAAAACTATGGCATAAGTGCTACCCCCTCCACACTTTCTTCATCAGAACTGAAGTGAAGTAGTCACCTAAACTTGAAATGAAAGCTTGCTTTTTCTCCATGGATACTGCCTGACCTGCTGTGATCTCCAGCATTGTTTGTGTTTTCAGTACAGATTCTAGCATCTGTAGAAGTTTACTCCTACATGGTGGAGAGAGACGGTTAACATCAGGTTGATGACTTTTCATCCATTCTGACTGCATGTCATCATCTTGAAATGTCAACTCTGTGTCTCTCTCTCTCTCTCCCCCCAAAAATGCTGTATGAAGTATTTCCAGCTTTTCTGTTTTTATTTGTCTGTCAGCAATTGGACTTTGTATAATTTTAAGTTCAATTTTTTTGTGCCTCCATAGTAACAATTCTAATGCAAATTCTAAACAATTCTGAAACTGTTCCGTTTGTTGTAACCACATTTATGATGATAAACCTTCTGCTGTAAAGTTTTTTTTCATGTTTTGTTCATTTAGGAAACCAGTGCTAAGAGATGTTGCATACTGCAGCATGGGTATGACACTGCACTGTTCTGTCATTTGGATGCCAATCACGTTTAAATCCAGTTGTCTTGACAGTGCCTTAAGTGGGTTACATTTAAGGAATATCGGAGCAGGAGTGGGCCATTCAACCTCTAGAGCCTGTTCCACTATTCTAGATTGTGGCTGATCATCTACCTCAACACTTCATTCCTGTGCTTGTCCCATATCCCTTAATGTCACAACAAACTGCCCTCTAGTTTTGGACTCCACTATTCTAGGGAATAGACCTTGGCTATTCACCTTATCTACGGCCCTCATGATTTCATAAACCTCTATAAGGCACTGCTCAGTCTTCTACACTCCAGGGAAAAAAAGTCCCAGCCTATCTAGCCTTTCCTTATAACTGCAAACTTGGAAATATTACAATTTTCATTCACATCTAAATCATTGACATGGATTGTCAAAAATTGGTGCCTAAGCACTGGTACTTGTGGTCCCTTACTGGTCACAGTTTGCTGACCTGAGAATGATCTATTTATTTCTAGTGTCTCCTTCTATCTGCTAACCAGTCTTCAATGCATGCTAGCATATTACCCCAATTCTATGAAATTTAATTTTGTTTACTAACCTCCTGTGTGGGGCTTTATCAAAAGCCTTCTGAAAATCCAAATTCTCCATCTCCTCATGTTCCTCCTTATTGACTCCTTAAAACAAAACACTATCAGGTTTGCTAAACATGATTTTCCCCTTCATAAATTGACATTGACTCAGTCCGAGCAGGAAGGCTTCATTTCTTCCTGCTGCTATGATGCTGCTTGGCCTGCTGTGTTCATCCAGCTCTACACCTTGTTATCTCAGATTTTCCAGCATCTGCAGTTCCTACTATCATTGACTCAGTCCAGTCAGACAATGATCTTCTGAATATCCAACATACACATCCTTTCTAACAGATTCTAGTTTCCTAGTACTGACGTCAGGCTCGCATTTCTGTCGTTCTTTGTTTGCTCTCATCCTTCTTTCTGAAACAGTGGAGTTGCATTGTACCCTTTGTGTCTGCAGGTGCTGTTTCAGAATTAATTGATTTTTGAGAGATGATCCTGAATTCATCCACTATCTCTGTAGTTATCTCAACATTCAAGTGAATGTCATCAGTTCCTGGGGATTTATCAACTTTCAGCCCCATTAATTTCTCCAGTTTTTTTTTCAAATTTGTTTGTTCCACATTCTCATTAGACCCTTGAATCTTAATTATTTCAAGGACTTTTTGTGGCTTCCCCTCTGTGAAGTCAGACGCCCTAGACATTATAAAGTACTTTAAAATAGAGTAGAAGAGCTGAATATTGTTTAAATCGGGAAGGACTGCAGAAAGCTGCAGCACTACGAGTTTTGAGAGCCCTGGTGCATTAGTCGCAAGAAGCTAGCATCCAAGTTCAGTAAGTAATAGTGAAGGCAAGTGAAATGTTAGCCTTTATTTCAAAGAGGACGAAGTATAAAAGTAGGAGGCCTTGATGAAATTATACAAGGCACTAACCAGACTAACCAGCTGAAATACTGTGAACAGTTTTGGTTCCACTATTAAGGAAACTGATGAAGACTAAGATAAATTGACATTGGAGGCAGTTCAGAGAAGGTTCACCAGATTGATCCCAGCTGTGGAGTGATTTTTCTTCTGTGGACAGATTGAGTAGGTTGAGCCTGAACTATTTGGAGTTAGGAAGAAAGAGAGGGGCCTTGAAATATATAAGATTCTGGGGGCTTGACAGGGTACATGCTGAGAGGTTGTTTCAGAGAGCTTGTGGGGAAGTCTAGGACTATAGGGCATAATTTCAGGGTGAGGAATCGCACATTGAGATATAGTGTTGAGGATTTTTTTTCTCAGTGGGTGGTGAACTTGTGCAATTCTTTACTGGAGGGGGCTGTCGAGGTTGATGATTAAGTGAATGCAAGGCTGAGATAAATTTCTAATTAATAAGGCAATAAAGTGTTATAGTGTAAGGCAGGAAAGTGGAGTTGAAAATTATCAGATCAGTCATGATCTCATGGCAGAATGGACTTAGAGGTCCAAATGATCTTCTACTGCTCCTATGTCTTATGTTGTGTTTAAATTAGCTTCTCTGTCATTTCTCTACTTCCTATTAGACATTCTTGTGTCTCTGCCGGTATTCAACCCATATTTGTCTTTGTTAATCTTTTTCTTTTTACATATCTGTACAAGACTTTACAATCCATTGTTATGTTGCTCGCTATTTCACATTAATATACTGTTTTCTATTTCTTTATCAATTTCTTAGATCTCCTTTGCTGAATTCTAAAATTCTCCCAGTAATAGGCTTACAACATTTTTGGCAACTTTATAAGTCTCTTCTTTTTTTTTAATCCGTGCCACACTTGCTTTTCCTATTGGGTCTTTCTTGCCTTAATGGAATGTATTTGTTTTGGAAACTAAGCATTAATTCTTTAAGTGTCACTCTTTGGCTATCAGCCATCAAATGTATTAATATACTTTTCCAATCCATTACAGCTAATTTCTTTCTCATATCTTCATAATTGCCCTTGTTTAAATATAAGACCCTAGGTTCAGATTGAATTACATCTTTTTCAAACTTGATGGTAAGTTCTATCATACTGTGGCCACTAATTCCCAAAAGTTCTTGAGCAACAAAATAGTGAATTTGCTTTTTCTTGTTGCTTAATGCTAGATCTGAAACATCCTGTGTCCTGGTTGGTTCCTCCATGTATTGCTCTAGAAAACATAATTTGGACGCTTTCCAAGATTTCTTTCCGTACAGCATTAATGCTCTTTTGATTTGCTTTGACTATGTGAAGCTTAAAGTCACTCATGATTACTGCATTTCCCTTACTCCATGCACTTCTAATTACCACATTTAGATGTGCCTTACATTACCACAATAAACCACTCTGCCATTGCTTCCTGTCCCTTGCTGTTTCTTAGCTGTACCCAAACAGATTCTACATCCTTTTCTTACAACTGGAGATCCTGTCCTACTAACACTGATCCTAACCCTTATTATCAACACTATTTCACCTCCTTTTCCCTTTTTGCCTACTAAATGTCAAATATCCTTTACTATTCAGCTCTTAGTTTTGGTCAATCTGCAGCCATGACTCTAATATCAATTAAATTATAGCCTTTTACTTCTACTAGCACCTCTAATTTGACTATCTTGCTACAAGTGCCACATTCATTCAGATATAATGGCTTTAGTTATGCCTTTGTAATACTATTGTCATTCGACCATGATTTATTCCATGATTTGTTTCTGCTGTTTTCTACCTTCATTTCCAGCTTTTTTTACTTCCTGTGACTTGCTTTGTATCTATTCAATTGGAATTCTGTCTTGAGTTCACATTTCCCTGATGTTGTGGTTTAAACCTTCTCCATGAGCATATTAGTCCCTGTACTGTTAAGCTGTAATCCATCCTCGTACACATCTTGCCAGAACCAGTCCAAACAGAAATTTAAAACCCTTTCTCCTGCACCATTTTTTCTAGCCATGTATTTGTTCAGCCAATCTTTGTATTTCTCTAATCAGTAGCACATGGTACAGGAAGAAATGCTCAGGATTAATGCCTCTGAGGTTCTCATTTTCAGTCTTGTGCCTAGTTCCCTAAATTCTATTTCCAGGACTTCATCCTGCTTTCTACCTATGATGTTGGTACTGTTGTGGACCTTGATCTCTGGTTATTCACTCTCCCTCAGAAGAATGTCCTAGAGCTGCCATGTTGACACCTTTGACCCTGGTACCAGGGAAACAATATAACATCTAAGTGCCATGTCTACCACTAAAGAAATGCCTATCTGTTGCTCTAATTATTGAATCCCTTCCACTATTGC